TAATATGTTGTAAAATGCACTAGTTTTGAGACTTAAAATCCTTTTATTTTTCATAGTCATACATCTCGATGTCGAGATGATCAATCAAATGATTTTTCAACATTAAAACTACCTTTTCCGATGGATTTTTGAGGGGCATCCGTAGTTCTACATTATAAGATAGCATCCTTATATAAACTTTTTCTTTTTAGTTATAATATTTAAATATAGGAAAAGTTTATATAAGGTTGCAACTTTAAAATGTAGAATTACAAATGCACATAAAAAATCCATTGGAAAAAGTTGTTTTAGTGTTGAAAAACCCTCTAATTGATCATCTCAATGATGTAGGAATATGAAAAAAAAAAGATTTTGAATCCCAAAAATAATGTATCTTGCAACACATTATCTAGACTGTTCATTTTTAACATTTTCTGATATTTATAGATCTACTTAATTTTATCTATTTTTTGGAGTTTCAAATTTTATAATCAGAGATGAAAAGAGATTTGAAGGTAATCGTAAAATTTTTTTATAACAAAATTATATACGATTATCAAATTTGGAGGTGCACTTTAAATGGATTGTTTATGGTTACAACCTTATAGAAACCGTACCCTTTAAATATTAATTAAAAATATTTAACATAACACTTAAATATATATTTTTTTATCGGTCCCGGTTCAGGTCCATTTGAGTTTGGGTCCAATAGCTTCCGGCCTGGTCAGGTCCGGTTCTAGGTCCCATAATTTTTTTTGGTTCTGAGTCCAGCAGGACCTAACGCCTATGTGTTTTATAAAGCAGGGCTTCTACGGCTGAAACCCCCTTATCTCTCTCTTTTTAAGGATTAGGAAAACGCCCTTACTATGAGTTCTCTCACGGAGCCTCTCCCGAAGCACCTGCTCCCCTTCTCTCTCCTCTGTAACCCCTCTATCTTTTATCTATGAGTTCTCTCTCTTCTCAAACCCTAAACCCCCATCGATGTGCCCTCTCTTCGAGCCCTAGACTTCATTTCCAGGTATTGCTTTTTCGTCTCTCTCTCTCTTTTTTCTGGTCATTTTGTTTTTGTTTGGTGTTATCGATTTGGTGGACGGGTTGACTTGATATTTACTGATATTTATCAGTAAATATGATGCTTACTGATATTCATTCAGTAACTATGCATCTACTAAATGCTCATCAGGAAAAATCGATATTTTATATATTTTTCAGCAATATCAGAACATTAATGTGATGGTAATGTTATGCAACTGGTTTTGTTGCTTTGTGATTCAGTACTCTGGTTTTCCATGCATTCTTCTAATACTTAAAGGGGGAAAATGAAATTTTCTGATATTTAAACCTATGATATTTATGAGAAACTGTTCTGTACCGGTATTTATTTGAAAAATGATAAATCTGATATTTATTAGAGCAAGAATTTTAACGAATTTACTAATATTTATTGGTCAATATTGAAATTGGTTTATGTTTACTGTTCTTAGCAGTAATAATGCTATTTATTAATATGCATACTGTTCTTTATCAGTAATATTGCTATTTACTAATATGCATGGTAAAAGTGCTATTTATCATTAATATACAGTTAATCAGCAAAGTATTCTCTCAAAAAATTGATATTTATAAGTAATTAATTGATATTAATTAATAATTATATTACCTAGTAATATTTACGAGTAAATTAGAAAAATTGATAGTTACCAATGCTATTACTTACTGGTGTTTTATCAGTAACTACCAGGATATTATCAGTGAATTTGATCAGTAACTGGCATTATAAAAAACATTTATTAGTAACTTTATCATCACTTTTACTGATATTGTAAAAAATAATGACATTATTTGTAATATGTTATTTTTGTTGATATTTATGAGAAAATATAAGTATTATTTTATTATTGTTTATCTGTAATTTTAGTTACTTTACTGATAAAATCCGTTAATATGAGATTAACGGATTATAGTCACAGTAAGGAGCATGATAATTGAAAAGGTTTGTTGTAATTATTCCTTTTGTCAAATGAACTAATGTTGGACAAATGATTTGTAGAATTGTTTCTATATCAAATATGATAGACACACCAGCTGACCACCATCAAGTTATTGGAGAGACAGTGAGGTCATCCAAGGCATGAAAGGACCCAGAGTAGTAGGTCCTCTCCATTGATGTCCATCCTTCAAATCAATGGTGTTAGGCTGGTTACTACCCTATTTAGGTACATTTGGATCTACTTGATCATTCCTCTTAGACTAATGTATGTTTCTTATATTGTCAAATAGAACCTTAATATAAGGTTGTAGTATTTATAGTTCAAATTGGAAATGTCTATGATGAAACCGTTTACTTTTGAATGTGAAATCGGATGGGTGGTGATGTGTCACTAGTCGAGCACAAAATCCAAAACAAATTTTCTCAAAAGTTGTGATATATTTTAATATATTAGATTTGATATCTAATGGCCGAGAAAAGTTGTGACCTTCTTGTACCAAAAATAAATGGTCTCATAATAAACAATCCTCTTCAAATTATATTTAGTTGTATTAATTATATACTTGTTTTTGCAAGATTTACACTAAGGCATTGGCGTTATCGGAAAAATAGGTATGTTATACTCTCAATCAATGCATATTTAACAATATTTTTGTTGACATGAAAATAGTGTCTCATCACTCAAATTGTATGATATTACATGAGAAAAATGTATAACATGTAAGTTATAATTTAAATAGAAAATATAGATTTTTTAAAATTTATAGGAATATATCATCATCATTGTCTGAGCCGTGTCGCAACTAGTTGGGGTCGGTTAGACAAATCTTGTTCTGCCATTCTGGTCATCCTCAGTCAAACCATAAGTGCCCATATCTACTCTCACCACTCCATCAATGTTTAGAGCCTTCCACTTGAACCAAATCACTATATATTGTTTTTTGACCGTCCAACATTCTATCCGATAAAGCATGACTGGCCTTTCAGTTATCCTATATCCTCATCTCCACTGCACTCGTCTTGTAGATACGTTGTTTTTTGATCGCCCAACATTCTATCCCATAAAGCATGGGTAGTCTTACAATTGTCCTATGGAACTTCCCTTTTAGTTTCATTCGTATACGACGATCATATAAAACTTCGGATGCACATTTTCACTTGGCCTACCCAACTCTAATTCATAAGAAATCCTATAATGCATGGGTGGTCTTATAGTTGTTTTATAGAACTTCTCTTTAAGTTTCTTTCGTTCGAATGCGACGATGATATTAAACTCGGGATGCACATTTTCACTTGGCCCACCCAACTCTAATTCATAAGAAGATACGTGGATAGAAAAAAAGTCTACCAAGATCGACAAATTAAAGAATGATATGAGAGACTTGCTTATGGAAAGTTTTTCCATGGTATAGTTTTTTCTAGAAGGGAGGGAGTTTCAACTACCAAGAAGAGATGTAGTGCTTCGTATGTGCTTTAAAAGAAAAGTGTAGGCATAGACATTGTTTTTTTTTTTTAATCATTGGCAACTAATTTAAATCAAATATTCTTAGTGTACAAAAAGGGAATAATGATTTTTTTGATTGATAGTTTGATCGCACAGTTCCTAGAAGATGGACACAGACGTGGACGTGGATGCAGAGGACGACTCCGCGGACACAACAATGGGCATGAATATTAGTAAGGACTCATTTCATTGATGTTGAAGTTTTTCCACTCAAATAGATTAGTCGATTTTAACAAGGGAACAATTATTTAAAAGCC